CTGAATATTGTGGAAAAAGCTCAACATGCTGCCGATAATTAACTTTATTTTATACAAAGGCCTGAAACACTTCACTCTATGCATGACGAATGAATATGATATATGGACTGATAAACAACAGGTAATTTAGTGAATACCGTTCTGCTTTTCAAATATATCATAGAAATAAAAATAAATCTGCTAAACAAATATTGGTTCTAAGCTTCAAAACAATTTCAAACCTTAACATTTCAACACAACACAGACTCCTTCTATTTCAAAATTGCATCATTCAATACTTCAGCTTCTCGCACACAGGCCTAGTGAAAGTATCTCCACTGTTTTTGGTGAAACTGTCAAAACAGAACAAATGTAGACATATTCCTTGACCTCTTCCTTGCTCCCGGGACGGAATCTATCTCACAGCGTCCACGTCTCTCTCTCTTTCTCTCTCTCTCTCTCTCTCTCTCTCTCTCTTCCGCCTCCTCCACTGTCCGTTGATTATCAGACAGATACATGGATCGCTCTTTGCTCCCGAGACCGTGTTCTTTGTATCCATTAGGCGTGTGTGGAGATGGATAATTGTGCGCACCAGAAGGCCTATGATGATGGAGGCGATTAATAATCCAGGGGAACACTTACTCCCCAGGCCCCACTGAACCGGAGATACCTGGATCTTTTATTAATGACACACTTAGTTCTGCTTTATTAGGCCACGGTCGGAAAGCAGGCGTTGCTCTGTGCCAACGAAAGAAGGGAGTTTAAAACGTTCAGCTGAGCACGAGCTGAGCAAATGCCAACTACTGATCCTTAAAACAGGTCTGTGAACAGTTTGATTTTTAAACAGCGGTGATCTAATAATTGATTTAGAGGTGTTGAATTCAGAACACAAAACCACTGGAAACGTGACATGCATTTGTACGTTCTGGAAAGGGGTTGGATGAAGCGGATTCACTCAACCAACACAGACAACCAACCTGTCTGAGTGCTGAAGCCAAACAGGGCAAGGCCTAGTTATTACTGTGATGGGAGACCTCTGGGATAACACCAGGTGCCACAGTGGGGCGGCTGAAAAAACTGCTGTTGTGTCCTAGGGCAAGACACTTCAGCCGCATTGCCTAGAGTGAGTCTGGTGTGTGTTTGTGAATGGTTGGTGGTGGTCGGAGGGGCAGATGGCACATACTTGTTACCTTGCTTCTGTCAATATGCCCGATGGTAGCTGTGGCGACCACCAATTTGTCACCACCGTGTATGGAGTGAAAGTCTTTGTGTGTCCCAAAAAGCGTGATATAAAATCGATGCATGAAAACTATTTGGAACACAATAGTTCAAAGACATTATATAAAAAAGCAAAGGAAGGTTTCTCACCCATCATCTGTACTTCTTAGCAAGTTTTCCCGACGTTTCGTCCTCAACCTGGGGACTTCTTCAGGTAATGAATGCTCGGACCGCACGTTGGAGATTTATAACCTATGGGTGTGGTAAGCCACACCCTAATCCTGATACTAACTCGTAAACAATCTCAGGTCTGCTTGATGTAGAAGGGAGCAGGTCTAACGACCCTGCTGAGGCTAACGACCCTAACTCCTTAGCATGTCACAGACCTATTGTCTGCTGGGATGCTCAAGTGGAGTGCAGGTTTCACCCCTCCTAACTCATTAGCATGTCACTGACCTTGTCCCAAGTTAGGGCGTTGTTTTTAGGATGTCGTCATAGATGCGAGGCAAAACAAATCTTAACCCTCCTCCTCTGTTAAGAGAAGGTTTTTGTTTCCTCACAAAAATGGCTTCTTTCACTCCTCTCTCACACCAATTCTTCTCCCGAGCCAGAATTTTAACCTCTGTGTCATCCACCGTGTGGTTGGAGGCCTTGAGGTGGAGATGAACAGCCGACTGTGGCCCACTAGAGTTTTCTCTACGATGTTGGTAAAGTCGTTTCTGTAGAGTTTGTTTGGTTTCTCCAATATAGTGGTCAGTGCACTCCTCTTCACTACATTTAATTGAATACACCACATTGCTCTGTTTGTGTCTGGGTGTTTTGTCTTTGGGATGCACTAATTTCTGTCTTAACGTGTTGAAAGGTTTGAAATACACAGGGATTTTGTGTTGCCTAAAGATTCTTTGTAGTTTCTCTGAAACTCCCGCCACATACGGTAAGGACACCCCTCTCCTCCTACTTTCTTCTGTCTGTAGGACAGAAGAAATCCGCTACAACACAAACTCGGGGTCATTAGAACGCTTCAACACCGAGCCCACCAGGTCCCCACTAGCTCGGAGGGAAAGAACAGAGAAACCAAACATGTTCAGAGAGCACTTTCCAGATGTGGCTACCCCAAGTGGTCTTTTACTAAAGCCCAAAGGACGAGAAAGGCCAGAGACACAGTCCTACAGACAGAAGAAAGTAGGAGGAGAGGGGTGTCCTTACCGTATGTGGCGGGAGTTTCAGAGAAACTACAAAGAATCTTTAGGCAACACAAAATCCCTGTGTATTTCAAACCTTTCAACACGTTAAGACAGAAATTAGTGCATCCCAAAGACAAAACACCCAGACACAAACAGAGCAATGTGGTGTATTCAATTAAATGTAGTGAAGAGGAGTGCACTGACCACTATATTGGAGAAACCAAACAAACTCTACAGAAACGACTTTACCAACATCGTAGAGAAAACTCTAGTGGGCCACAGTCGGCTGTGGCCTCCACCTCAAGGCCTCCAACCACACGGTGGATGACACAGAGGTTAAAATTCTGGCTCGGGAGAAGAATTGGTTTGAGAGAGGGGTGAAAGAAGCCATTTTTGTGAGGAAACAAAAACCTTCTCTTAACAGAGGAGGAGGGTTAAGATTTGTTTTGCCTCGCATCTATGACGACATCCTAAAAACAACGCCCTAACTTGGGACAAGGTCAGTGACATGCTAATGAGTTAGGAGGGGTGAAACCTGCACTCCACTTGAGCATCCCAGCAGACAATAGGTCTGTGACATGCTAAGGAGTTAGGGTCGTTAGCCTCAGCAGGGTCGTTAGACCTGCTCCCTTCTACATCAAGCAGACCTGAGATTGTTTACGAGTTAGTATCAGGATTAGGGTGTGGTTTACCACACCCTAATCCTAGGGTTATAAATCCTAGGATTAGGTTATAAATCTCCAACGCGCGGTCCGAGAATTCATTCCCTGAAGAAGTCCCCAGGTTGAGGACGAAACGTCGGGAAAACTTGCTAAGAAGTACAGATGATGGGTGAGAAACCTTCCTTTGCTTTGACTAATCCCTGTACGACTGAGGGCTTACACAAAATTATATAAAAAAAGTAACACAATAACATTTCATACATGGTGCAATACACAAACACAGGTACAGGCCCAAATAATCTCTGACTCAACACCAAAACACTCTCTGACCCAACACCCCTCCCCACTTCTTTCTCTGTGCTGAAGCCATCACACTTCCTCCCATGTACTTATTCAGTATTTATTTATAATACAGGTTTTTTATTATTATCATTCTGGTTTGAACATGTTTTAAATGTAGTAGCTCCACGCACTGAGATATAAACGGATCTTAAAGTAGTTGTAAACTCTAAGGTCAGTGCAGGTGCAATACGCCACTATACAGACTATTACATGAAAAAGTTTGATGGTCACAACAATCTCAAAACTTGGACCATGGATGGCTTCTTTATGGTCTTCTGCCATCAGGAAAAAAACAAACTACATCAACAACAAACAAGGCAGTCTCAATCAACAAGACCTTGAGTTATATCCAATTGATATGTGCCGCCAAACAGAAGCTCCCACTGGAATCTCTACTGGGAAAGGAAAAAGGGCTGTCCCTGGAGGTTTTGGTCCTATTACAACAGGCTTGACAGGGCTGTTTGAAAATGCCACTTTCAGATGACTTCAGAGACCGAAAGCCGGCTCCAGCTGCAGCCCGAGTCCAAGTTTCGACTTGAGGTCAAATATTTAATGAAATGTGTTGCAAAAGGAGTTCACTACAATTGGGCCAAATCTTTAGGCGCTCAGGCCATTAAGATGAAGTGAAGCCAAGTTTTGCTATAGTTGTCGTCCTATTCATAGCCTGCGCAGATGGTAGCACCTGCAAATAGAAACGGCACACATGGGTAATTTATATCAGCACTTCTCTGCAAGTTTTTTAGTTACTCCAAATACAGTACTGATGCGTTCCCTGGACATAACAGAACGTGGTTAATGAGACCTATCGGTTCGTTTAAAAGTCTAAATTGCCTTCATTGTACACATTTCCTTTCCGCCCTTGTGGATGTACATAACAGCAGAACATTTATATAAAACCGTTTTATTAACTGCAACGCTATCATTGTTGTTTATTGTCTTTCATGTCCTTGTCCAGAGGGATTTTCTTTCACACTGGCTGCACAAAAAGGCGGTTAAGAGATTGTTTAGCAGAGCATAAATATGTGAACAGGGTCGACAACTATCATTACCCTATGGCTCGACATTTTTTCAACACCAAGACAACAATGACTGCTCAAACGCAAAACAAGAGTGGATGGACTTGAGAAACTTTTCTCCTTGGCCCCTCCCACTTTCTCATCCCCCAAATGCAATGTACACACTTGTTTCCTGCATCACTTATGTATTTATGTATTTGTTCATGAAAATGTTGTTAATTTCAATACATTTTTCACATGATAATAATAGTTACAATATGTATTTTAAACATTTACATGAATTGAAAGGAGCAGAAAAGCAAAATACAAATCTTTTCAATATCATACACACAAGTGACGATCTACCCTGACCTTTCCACCGGTACAATTTTCACCAAAAAACAAAACATCTGCATACATTTATCAGTTTTATATAATTCATTTTAATTATTCACGCTCCTAATGACTTTTATTGTCATCCCTGATGTAGACAGACTGAGGTGGAAACATGTTAGCTTCAGCCATGTAGAGAAAGACCTTATAATGAAGACTTCTTAACTAAATGTTGTTTTCTCAACACTGATGCGCTTTGTTAATTCACATCCTGCTGTGTCTGTCAGAGCCCTCCACCTGCATGATGTCTGAGTGGATCAGCTGGTCGCCCTGCAGCGTGTCCTGTGGGATGGGCATGAGGTCCAGGGAGAGATATGTCAAACAGTACCCAGAGGACGGCTCCCTGTGCCAGCTCCACACCGAGGAGACGGATAAGTGCGTGGTCAACGACGAGTGCTGTGAGTACTAACGCTGTCAAGGAGGTCTCAGCGAGTACGCAATCTGAATACATGGAAATATGTCTTTATGTTCTTAGCCTATAGCAGTAAGGCAAGGCAAGTACAGTATGAAGCACGGTTTATACACAAGGAATCTAAAAAAGGGTTAAGATACAATCATTCAGTTGTGCAGCTAAAAAGAACAGTTTTTAAAGTGGATTTCAACATTGTCAGAGTAGAAGCCTGTCTCACATTTTCAGGAAGACTATTTATTTATTTAAATGGGACAGTGCACATTAATCATCATGCGTCCATGTATATACAGTAACAGTAATAGTTTATCACCACCATGTATGAAGTGAATGAATATTGTCATGTGAAGCGTCTTTAAAAAAGTGCTATATGAAACTGATGCTTTATTATTATTATTATTATTATTATTATTATTATCATCATCATTAACAATATGCCAGATTTGAAAAAAAGTTTCCATCTTTAGTCCCATGGCAGGTTGATGTTACAGCCATCAACAAGCCACATCCAAACATAAAAAGTAGGTTAGTAAAGTTCCAGATTTTTACGTATATTTTTAACACTGCCTCCCCATGTTTAGTCCTGACTCTGAGCACCAGCAGGAGGCCAGTCCCTGTGCTCCTCAGAGTCCGAGTTGGTTCATATGGCACTAACATGTCACGGATTTACTTTGGTGCGAGGCAATGGAGACAATTGTACACAGTAGTAGTTTATTATGAGTGGTGTAGGAGTAGCGTTAGTAATCAACACTAGTGGTAAATATCCAGTAGTAGTCGTACTGGTGTGACCATGATTTGATTTGATTTCCCCCCTCCCCCTGCCCCAGCTCCTAGCAGCTGTGTGGTGACGGAGTGGACAGAGTGGGACCCCTGCAGTGTGACGTGTGGCCTGGGCATGAAGAGGAGGGAGCGCATGGTCAAGATGCCGCCCATCGATGGCTCCATGTGTAAGACGGAGGTGGCGGAGGTGGACAAGTGCATGATGCCCGAGTGCCGTAAGTCTGCTGCGATGTCATTCACTTGCACATTTACGGTGAGGCAAAAAACAAGTATTTAGTCAACCACCAATTGTTGCAAGTCCTGCCACTTATAAAATATGAGAGACCCCTGCAATAAATGTAAATGTGTAAATGTGAACTGTATTTATCCCCATAGGGAACATTGGTATGCATCAACTTTGAGACAAAATTAGGGAAAAATCCAGAAAATCACATTGACTGATTGTTGACTAATTTATTTTGCATATTATTGTAGAAAAGTATTAAGTCAATAAGTAAATTCAGTTACAAAAGCCCTTCTCAATACTTTGTTATATACCCTTTGTTGGCAATGACAGAGGTCAAATATTTCTGTAAGGTTTTCACAAACTTTTGCTGGTATTTTGGCCCATTCCTCCATGCAGATCTCTTCTAGAGCAGGGAGTACTTACACAATTTGTGGATGACTAAATACCTTTTGCGCCACTGTAAATTTATGTCAAAAATGCACATATTGAAGAATGTGTTTTTGGGCAGATACTATCCCGTGCATGCTGACGCCCTGGTCGGACTGGAGTGAGTGCAGTGTGAGCTGTGGGCGGGGCCTGAGGACCCGTCAGAGGATGTTGAAGTCTGACCCCACAGAGTGCGCTGAGGAGCTGGAGCAGACTGAGAAGTGCATGCTGCCAGAGTGTCGTAAGTACCTCACCAAGAATGTTGAACCAATCATGTGTAACTTTAATTCATTTTAAGTTGTTAATTATTACTGTTTATTTACGTCATAAACCAGTGGCAGGCAATTTTTATTTGTTTATTATTTTTATCTTAAATGCATTCATTTATTTATTTTTTGAGAAAATAACAATATAATTTAATCAGATTCCAAAAATAGTTAAATTGAAAAAAAAAATATACAATCAGTCCACGATAACAAAGCTTCCTTACCTTTTATCCGGTTCAATCAAAGTTGTTCAAGAAAATCTACCAGAAAAATTACCACAAATGCAAATAAACTTTAAGAATCTTTCCACTAAGAAAACCACAGAGACCTTGGCGTAAAGTATGCCAAGGAAATACGTTTGGCTCAGATTTCTTTCTGATTTCTAATTTGGTGAAACCTTATCAGACCCTCGGCGTGACAAAAACTCACACTGCTTTAATATGATATATCTTTGACCTTGAACCTCATTTCACCGAGGCGTCTGACAGGGATCATTACTACAAAGATATACAGTGGAGGAGGATGATCATAGAGTTCATTTCAATGCACCAATTTGAGACTTTATTAAGTCCCAAAGTAAGTCAAAGTCCCAGTAATAAAGTCATTGGGACTTTATTATTGGGACACCAAAAGTAACTCTCCATCCATTTTCTTCCCCTTAATCTATTTCTGGGTCGGGGGGGTGGCAGTCAGAGCTGCACCCAGTACACAGAGCACCAGCCCCTCACTGATCCTCCTGCAGGTGGTGAGTCTACAGGAGCCTTGATTTTTCTTCAGGCAAAATGGGGTTAATTGTCTTGCCCAAGGACACAACGATAGAAGACATCAGTGGGAGTAGCACAAAAGTAACTCTGTATCATAAAAATAACTCCCTACCCCTTGAAAATGACAAAAAGAACCCAAAAATGGCATTTTCTACACATTCCGTCTGGTATGCATAAGCTATTCTTGCTGTATGCGTGTTAAATGAATGCTTCAAAACTAATTTTGGAATTATTTAACACTATTATTAGAAGAAATGTTACACCTCAAAATAACTCTATCTTTAAACATTCTGTTACAACCTTTGTATGTGTTCACTATTCATAGTGTACCAAAATAAAAGACTCATTTGGAAAACTTTCGAAAATATTTTTATTTAAGATCCAAAACTTGGTCTTTTAAGACTTTCTTGGAAATGTTCATATTCGTAGTAGAAAATATTCATATTTTTTCCACAACAAATATGACCCCCCTTTCGTAATTCTACTATTACAGTGCTGTGAAGTCCAGCCCACTTTGCTTTCCTGCCCCGTTCATTTCCGCAGAATCCGAATAACACGATCAAAGCGATAAGTGTTGATTACTTGATTCCTAACCGCAGATAAGGCTCTTCACATTCACGAACCGAATGATGAAGAGCAGAGGAGACGTGCGGCCCCGCGGTGCTCTGGATCGCTGCCTCAGGACCAGCTCGGCCGCGCTACATTTACCTCTGACGTGATTTATTCTCCCACGGCGCGTGATGCATCTCAGCAATTACTGTACACGGCCTGCTCAGCTGCCCTCAGACCCGTGTGTGAGGCAGCCACCTGCAGGGAACCAGGCGCCTCTTCCAGATTGGACCGAAGCCCTGAGCTATTGGACACAGCACCTCACTGACACACATATCACAATCGCTGTATACTTTGAGATGTATTGTGGTATTTTTAATGTATGGTTTTAAATTGAAGGTGCGTACAAAGAAAAGGGGGGGTTGAATCTCAAGGCGTCCACATGTGTTGAATATGCAATGTATTTATTAGGTGTATGCCATTTCAGAAGCAATTCACATCTACGCTGTTTTATTATTCCGGGCATCGTTCTGCATTTTAATATCTGTGTGTTTCTTTTTTTTATTGTTATCAACACAATTTACAAATGCATGATATTTTTTCATGAATTGTCTTGCAAAATACCTGTAAAATTGTGTCAGCAGAGAGTATATTGTTTTGCTTTGCTTAGTTATTCGCCATTTGCAGTTAAAAAACCTCACTTGCCAATGGGACAGGCAAAATGATCTCGTTTTAAAACAAGAAATGTCTTCCTTGGAATGAGAAAATAAACAACAGTTCTTGAAATAGGTCTGAATGGCTTTGTTCCATCGGCTAATCTTGGTTTAAGACAGTCAGAATATACTCAAATTAAGATAATTAAGATTCAAGCATTTATTTCCACATATTTTATCATTTTTGCAGTGTACGAACAATATAAACATTTTCTGTGGTTTACCTGATATATGTGCATTGTCCTTGTTTTGTGTAATAGTTGTAGGGCATGACAAGAATTTAAAAACAAGACTTTTTCTGTGTGTGTGCTCTGCAGCCGTCGACTGCATGGTGTCCGAGTGGTCCGAGTGGTCCGAGTGTAACAAGTCCTGTGGGAAAGGCCACACAATCCGCACGCGCATGATCAAACTGGAGCCTCAGTTTGGGGGCGGCGCCTGCCCGGAGACCATCCAGCGGAAGAAGTGTAAGGTCCGAAAGTGTCGCCAAAAGGCCAAAGAAGAGAGGGGCGGGGCCGGCAACAGGAGGAGGCGGGGCAAACAGGGCCAGGACACATCTGTGGAGGAGCAGCCAGGTCAGTCACATATTTTTGTTAAAAAAGTTTTATTTAGGGTTTTACTACAGGGACTTTTATCTTTAAATCCCCTCCAAATGTTGTAAAAAAAATCCTGTCTGAGAACCCTCTGCGGCACAGACAAATGGCTGGATTCTTTGAGTTTTGGCCTGTGATTACTTGATTATTAATATTATTTTATTCAATTTATAAGTGGGAACAATCTGCACTGAGAAAACTCTGAAGTCCACCTTTAGAGTTCGATCTTTTAGACCCTCCTTAATGTTTACCCATGATAAATATTAAGGAGGGTGTCGTTGGGGTCTGGGGATAGGATCCTTTTTTTTACCTGTAGAATGACCACATTTGGACTTTTAACAATTCCCCCTCTTTACCTCTGAGGCAGCAAAAATCTTTTTGGTAAATATTAATTTGAAAATTGCTAGCATGGTGTAACTTTTGCTTGCGCAGCTCTTTGGAAACTGTTTTTGAAATTTGCTATATGAATAAAGTTGATTGGATTTTCTTGTGTTTAGAGCTAATTCAAACTAGTCAAGGTTCAGCCCTTAATGTTTGGTTTGACCTAAAATAGGAGGTCTGCATCTGCATTTTAATTACCAGCACATGTAGTGAACCTCGGTGCACAGCAGGGGGCAGTAAAGTTATACTATTTACACTCAACACCAATGTCAAGACAATTCTTAAACTCTCAGACTATATAATTATACTCAGCTTACTCGCAGAGAAAACTAATACTGAATAAAAACATAATTTAGCAGAACATAAAATCTGGAACTAGATTATGAAGCTTTGTGCAATAATGATCATTTAGACGTATGTTGTTCTTATTTACGACTGTGCTGAGCAGAAATGCACTGTAGCACAAGGACTGGGTGCATTAGGCTGGAAACTCAGTCCCATAACTATGAACAAACTGTACATGGTCTTGTCGAGTTCATGGGAATTGACAATTGTTGTATTTTGTTTTTGTTGATCTGAGGTCTGTCATGTCATTGTTCTGTTCCTATTGTTCAAGACACATTTCTCTGTTAAGAGATCCATCCATCCATCCATTTTCTTCCGCTTTATCCGTTGCCGGGTCGCGGGGGCAGCAGTCTAAGCAGAGACGCCCAGACTTCCCCATCCACACACACCTCCTCCAGCTCGTCTGGGGGGACCCCAAGGCGTTCCCAGGCCAGCTGAGAGACATAGTCCCTCCAGCGTGTCCTGGGTCTTCCGCGGGGCCTCCTCCCCTTATTCATTATTATCTCTTATCTGTTAAGAGATAATAATGAATGATCTAATATAATTTTATTCATATATTTGTATTTTATCAGACTAAAATAAAAATTTGATCAGAATCCAGTTGAACATTTATTGGCAGAGCAAGTATTTTATTTACCCAAATATTTCAACATTCTACTCCTTAAATTACTGACAACAATATAAAAAAAACAGGTTTTAAGTGGTTAGCCCCGCTTCTAAGTTCAGACCGTTCAGCTTAATTAGTTGAACATGTTTTGTTTATTGCATAGACTTAGAAAAAAGTTAGAATGTTCTACTATTCTGTGACTACTGTCGTTGTGTCCTTGGCAAGACACTTAACCTCTGGGAACACCAGCCACAGTGGGGCGGCTGCGGCTGTAAAGTGCCAAACTGCCGTTGTGTCCTTAGGCAAGACACTTCACCCCCATTGCCTAGAATGAGTCTGGTGTGTGTATGAATGGTTGGTGGTGGTCGGAGGGGCCGATGGCGCATACTGGTTGCCTCGCTTCTGTCAGTGTGCCCCAGGGCAGCTGTGGCTACAGTAGTAGTTTATCACCACCGTGTATGGAGTGAATGAATAATGACACATGTGAAGCGTCTTTGAGTGTCCAAAAAAGCGCTATATAAAACCGATGCATTATTATTATTATTATTATTACTATGATCTATACTTTTACTTATGTACTGTCTTATGGTTGGCATCTTTGCCACCGCTGCTCTTTGGTAATCGTTCTAATGCTTGTCGAAAATCAGACAGATGTCAAGTTCAGAAGCACACATTTCAGTTCTTACATCAGACATGTCCAAACTCAGGCCCGGGGGCCATTTGCGGCCCTCAGTGTCATTTTCTGTGGCCCTCTGCCTTGCTAACCCAAAGTAGTTAGTGGTAGTAATGGTGCAAATGTAGCTGGTGAGACGGTAAACAGTTCTCATTCAGCCAACTTCAGCTCTGTTATAGATCATCATAAAGCTCAGAACAGCTCGATGCACGTTTTTCAGTCCGTTTTGTCGGCCCCTGGACTAGTCTGGTGAACTAAAGTGGCAGAATTACTAAAAGGACAGATGAAAAGAGGGCATGTATTAAAAAGTCAATGTTACGTCATATCACGTCAAATCAAAAGATGCAAAGCTGAAGTCGGCATGCCCAGATCACTTCCATGTTAGTCCACTCGGTGAAGCCTTCTGTTCGCTCTTGCTGATGTTTGCAGGTTGCCGGATGCAGGGCTGGGGCAGCTGGTCAGACTGTTCGAAACCGTGCGGTGGTGGAATCCAGGAACGCTTCAACGCAGTGAAGAAACGGCCCAGAGCGGCTCAACCTGCGAACTGCAAAGACCGCAAGGAGATCCGTGCATGCAACGTCCACGCCTGCTAGGGGGCGCACTACTGAGCGACAGGGGCTGAGGGGGACGCAAGAAATGAGTGTAATGATATGTGGCGGACACGGCTGGATGACAAATACATGGAAATGTGTTTTTAAAGTGTTTTAGCAAAGCCATTTTAGATGTTTTGATTTGTGTGACAGGGCTGACTCTTATCTTCTTAAATAACACTATGAAGGCATGGATTTTTTTATGCAATTGTGTTAAAACTAAGCTGGTCGTTACAGCATCATGCAGAAGTCGGTACATTCTTCTACAGATATTTGGCTGGTTATGTAAAGACCAGCCAAATATCTGGTTATGTCCTTGTCCTCCACCTACTGATGAAAATTACAATAGATGGCGAGGTCTGGGATCGCGTCTCGGTGAAGACACGTTTCAAGATAAGAGAACCTCGATTCGTCCCACGGTTGGGAAATTTCGGCAGTAGTAAGAGCACAGACGGAGCACGCAAAATATACAGTATAAGTCGCTGCTATTCGTCCTAGCTTTATTGTTGGAACACAGCAGTTTCATAATTTTATACCAAGGTAAAACACATAAGCTCCCCTCAGCGTCTGCCACATGGCCAGTAGAAGAAAGTTGGCCTCGACCTTCAGATAACCAAAACACTGGTTATCAAAATAAAAATAAAAATATTGACTTCTACTGTAATGACCAGCTCAGTTTTAACCTAATCAGAGGAAAAACGTCTCATAAAAGATCCATAATGATTTGTTGTTAATCAGGTGCAGTTGAAGGTGGTCTACAATTGACACACTAACGTATAATATAGCCATAGACATAAAGGGGAAAGAGTTTTACCCCACATTACTCATTTGTTGATAGTAGCAATAGAAAGTAAACTTGTGAACGAATGCCAACTTTTATGATGAGATAATTGGTAACAGCATATGGCGCCTGTAATGTATATAAAACATGCCAAAATGTTAAATGTATGAAAGAAATCGATCATTATTAGTCTTCACAAGACAAAATGGCTTGTTATAGATGGATTTGGAGAAAGTCCCTGCAGACTGTACTGAGTATGTAACCCCACGTAACACTTATAAAAGACACTGCGATGTAAAATAAACATTGATATTGACATGTTTTTTACTATTGGGGTTAGTCTTTCTATAATGTACTGTTATTGTCCTTTCAGCTAATGTAGCATTACACTTTAGTCTGCACACACCCTCTTCAAGCAATTTCAAGGCTTCAGACATCTGAAGGAGACAAAGTGGTTAATACACAGTAAACCCATCAATTCATTTGCGAGGAATGTCATCTTTGAGAAAACGACACTATTTTGCTGTAAATTATACGGCAATGCACTTTTGTGTGTTCATTTCCAGGCCTACGGATGGCTCCAGACACGTTTCAAATTCATAGACTGTTAATGCCCTTTTACGTTTCAACCAAAGTATTGTTTCAGATGTCGCTTTCTTCACTCTGGTAAAGGCAGACTGTCTTTGTATCATGTGACTATTTTGTAAGAAACCACTTTACAATAAAAAGTAAATGTGAATTGTTTACTGTCTTAATTTATGTTGCAGTCATAAGATATCTTGTACCTGTTGTTTCATGGATCTCTCTGGACACGAACTGCTTCACATTTTCTATCTTTATGACCACAAAAGTAAGCATATTCTACTGGATTTTCAGTGAAACGACCCAAAGGTACTGTAATATAATTTGGTATTTTCTCATCAATTCTAATATCGATTTAGCCTTATCACAAATAAATGTTTCATGAATATCCATCAAGACGTTATGTATTTTTTCTCAAGATTTTAGTTGGCTTTTTAAATGTGGAACCCACTGGTGAGTATTCAGTCTTCATGGGACAGGGGTAGATAGAATCAAAAAGCAGACACGTTTGGCCAAATAAAAGTTATTGAAAAATATAGATTAACAGTAGCGATCCATGGGTGTATCCTTGACTGTACTAGTTCCAGGTAATGGTGTCAACGTAATAAACAGCAACAGTCCAGTTCAAATATTTATTGTGGGAATTGTGTCTTGGTCATGGAGTGGGAGGAGGTAAGGAGGGGAATCGTAGTTAGTTGTTGAATATGGTGAAATATGGAAGTGGAGGGTGGAGAAACTGGATCTACAAAAAAGAAATAAGAGCGTCAGATAATCTTCTGAGAAAGTAGAACACAAAGTAGGAGATCAAACTCACAGGCTTTTACGCAGTTCTCCACAGGAAAAGAGAATCTCCAAAATCAGCTCAGTGTCAAGACAGAGCAGGTGCCATGAGACTGTAGTTATAGACTTGGGGGTGGAGCCAGGTGCCATCCAGAGGCGGGCCCAAGACAGGCAAAAAATGAGGGGGAGAAAGGAATTTTTCAGTTATATTGTACAAAATCCGAGCTGAGCCAAGACAAGAGGACGGGGAAATGGGGAAAAGTGGAGTGGCGTGTATCCAGACTGTTTAATTGACATCGATCATCACCAATTGACCTCAGTGTTCAGAGCAGGCCACCTGTGAAACCAGGACCTCCAACAGTGCAATAGGTCTGCCATGGTTCGCCCTCTTCCTCGGGTGAGAGGCTCTTCCTCAGGTGAAGCAGTTCAAGTACAGTATGGGTGGTGTTTTTTGGTGAGAGGAGACCAGCTTGGGATGTCCCAATGAACCAGGAGACTCTGGAATTACTTTGACTCTGAGACCTGGGAATGCTGGCTCTGGAGGGGCAGAAGAAAAAGGGATCAATTTAGATGAGACAAAAGTACAATGGGCCTCATTTAACAACATTACAGTGAAACTGGCCTATACCTCACATCCAAACTGTTTCTCTCTGCATACGTGAGCGTGGTATAAATGAGTGCGCTGCCCTCTGATCCAGCTTTATGCAGAAACAGCTGATGATAAATGCAACAGAAGGAAACCAGCGTCATTTAAATAACACATTCACACTGTGGTGTCTGTGTGTCCAAGGGTCACCTGCTCTGGACACTGAGGTCTGCATGTGGGCCTGGAATTCGTACCCTTGGAGAACCCCAAAAGACATCCTGGGGAACTGACATCTGCCTTCTCCAGATTGACCAATCACTTGTGAGTCTGCAGTGAAGAGAACATGTGGAGGTCTCCTCCTGCCACCTCTCCACTGTCCACACTCAGAAGATCCACCTCACTGGGAGAAAAACACACATACATCCAATGTCCTGTAGTCCTTGCAAAGACAACAGACTTGAGTTATACCTGTTTTGTTCTTGTCTAGATTGATAGATACTTTATTGATCTCCTGTAGGAGAAATCCAGGTGTCCAGTAACAGCAGAAACACATCCATCCATACAAACAAAACAAATACTAAACAATTCTCAAAGTAGCGAACAATAGTAATAAATAAACGAGTAATCGTTTTTTTAAATTACCATTCCTCCAGTGGATTTTCGCTTGAACTACTTGGTTCAATCAATCAATCAATCAATTTTAGTTATAGAGCCCTTTAGAACACTCAAGACAACTAAAATGCGTTACAATAAAATCACATAGAATCCAGTAAAAATCAGTTCTGGCTGTGAATCCACTCCATACTGCTCTGGATCAGTGTAAAACCACGAACACTGTACTGCAGCTAAACATTTACTGGTAGAAAAAAAGCAAGAAAAACACATAACAACAATTGTTTCAAAGCTACTTAGGACTTGCTGCCGTTACCAGCACATTGAAAAGTAAGTAACTTGAATGTTTTTCCTCTTCTTATGTGTCACAGGAACTAAAGCTAAAACATTTAGCTACAACAGTTTTTGGTTCAAATAAAGTGTTGGAGCCATTTTGCCATGTTTTCATGTGCTGCCTCCTGCCACTGTGTGGCGCCACCTTGATAGTATGCCCTATATAAGTGGGGTACTAATGACAGACAGGTGTCAGACCCTTTAGCATCGGTTGACGGTCCACGGCTGGTAAAATTAAACTGTCGCCAATGTTACTTTGGCTCCTTTTGTACTTCACTTGTGGAACTTTTACTCTTTTTTTTTTTTTTTTTTTTTGTTTTTTTTTTTTTATTGTGAAAAAATTACATTACAAAACAAGTGCAGACGTACAAACAGATATAACAAGACAGACAGGACTGTGTGTGTGTGTGTGTGTGTTCCTATTTTCCCAAATTTGTGCCAGTTCATGAGGATCGTTTTCTTGGCGATGGCTAGGGCAGCAAGGAGAGTATTTTGGTCGTTTGGATTGATATTTATTGTAGAGGTGTGACCGAGTATGCATGGGATGGGGGTACAGGGGATGTGGCAGTCAAATATGGGGGACAGGATGTCTGTGACCTTTTCCCAAAAGTTGTGAACGTGGGTGCAGTGCCAGAAGGTGTGGATGTATGTGTCCTGAGTGTTTTGTGTGCAATTAGTACAGATAGCTGAAGTGAATCCCATTGTTGCTAGTCTGTGCCCAGTGTAGTGTGTTCTATAAATGATTTTGTATTGAATGAGTTGTAAATTGGAGTTATTAGTCATGGAGTAAATATTGTGGCAGATTTGTGTCCAGAAGGCGGGATCGGGAGGAACCGTAAGGTCCTTTTGCCATTTGTCAATTGGGATGGGGCAGGTTGTGTCAGATTTTGTGATAATTTGATAAGTTTTGGAGAGGCATTTTGTTGGTTTTAGGTTGAGAAGAGAGGTAATTGGTTGTGGGAGGCTGAGGTCTGCGAATGTATTGTTGTATGCTGCTGAAACGGATGCTTTCAGTTGTAAGTATTGTAAAAACTGGTTCCTCCCGATACCGTATTCCGAAGAGAGATGGTTAAAAGATGCAATTGTGTTGTTGTGAATGATGTGTTGCAGGTGTGTGATGCCTTTGTCTGACCATGTGCGGAAGTGGATTGGTTTTTTGTTGCTCAGGATGTCAGGGTTATTCCAGATAGGTGTGTGAGTGGAAGGGCCAAGGGTTGAGTTGGTGATTTTGTGGAATTTCCACCAAGCTGTCAGGGCTGATGATATTGTTATGTGTTTGAAGCATGGATTTGATTTAATAGATTGAGTAAGATCTATTAAATCTCACTTCCTCCTCCGTCGAGCAAAGACGTGTCTTAGTCCGCTCCTGCTTCTGAACGGCTTGCTATCTCCTGTTTTTGTCTTTTTTCCTGGAGTTTTGCCACAGACAACTTTAACAGAATGGAAATGATTAATTGGTCCCTCAACGCAATTGATTCTATCTTTTCAACACGTAAGCGTGGGTCTGGAGAGCCCGTGTGCCCGGACGGGACTTCACCGGCGGGGTATACTCTTGACAGCTGGAACAAGTTTCAGCCTCTCTGTCTGTCGACCCTGTCCATTGAAGATTCGGAAGACGTATATATCTTTGGCATTTTGGTGGTGGGAATCCTCCTGTTTGGGTTTGGAGCGATCCTGTTCTACCACAAATTCGGAGGCATGGCAGTTCGCAAGATTCACGACCTGCTGGCCGACAAAATTGATGGGATGTACAAGGAGCTAAGCCGTGTCGTGGTTGAGAGTGCCGTGTCTGGACAACGGAGAGTGGTGTTGGTGGAACAGTTGATAAAAGATCTCGCAGCTCGTTCACTCGATGGGCATAAAACTCTGGAATTGAGATTGAATGACATTGTTTGTCAGGCTTGAACTCTCTGACCCGGCTTGGATTTGCCCCTGTGTACGGAGGTCTGAGGGCGCCGTGATTCGGTTTAATTGGAATTAATAGAATATCTGCCTGCTTTTGATGCTACATTGCATATAATATTGTCCCTCTCAGGCGATGTGTGTTTCTCCTGCTGTGTCTTCTCCCCACTCTTATCTCACATTCCTTGACCAAGGCCATAAACAAGGTCCCACAATCTACAACAACTCACACTATTTCAGTCTCCAGCAAGGATCCCTCACCCCCGCCTCCCTCTACCTATCCATCTTGCTCCCTCCCTCCCCTCCATTCCTTATTGTTTTCCTACTCACCCCCTCCCTGATCCCGCCCCCCTCTGACAGCTACATTGGGCCGGCCGCCGGAGGTGCTCATCCCGAGAAAAAAATCCGTGGTTTATAAAAAGCACAATGTGTCTATCCAATTGTCTGTGAACTGTATGTTATTGCTCTCTGCTGTTTCTTGCTGCACACAGCGCCGCAAATGGCGAAGTGGCACGCTCTCTGCCAAGACAATTTCCAAGTGATAACTTTGCTACTCACGTGGCAATAAAAATGATTCTGATTCTGAAGAAAGAGGAGGAGTGAAAGTTCAATATTAGGGTTATGTGTTTGTTCTATGTCTAACCAGGTGTCTGATTTTACTCTATAGTCTGCACTTTTCTTGGAGGTGTCTCTCCTGGTGCATGGGAAGACTTAAAGGGGGTGGTTCGGGGGGTGGAGGGAAAAACGGGGGGAAACGAACCAGGTCAGGTAGTAGTGGGAGCCGTGAGAGAGAAGTAGCCAAAATGGTAAGGCGAGATGAGCACAATGAAGAAGGCTTAAAAATTCACCAACCCCCTTAAGCTATCCTCAGAGATTTGTGACAAAATGGGAGAAAGCCTGCATGCCAAAATCTTGTCTCATGGGAATGTGTTCATAGTTTGTAAGACCGAAGGCCAGAGGAAGAAGGCACTCATGTTAAAGGAGCTGGATAAGAGGGCAGTGCAAGGTTTGGTGCCAGGGTCAAATGTATATTCTGACCGGGGATCGAAAAGGGGTTGTTTATATTGACACAGATGTCTCAGAAGAGGAAATTCTTAAAAACCTGGGGGTAAAGAGGTTCAAAATGAGGGCACAGGGAGAATTGAGGGACAGCGCTGCTGTGCTCATTTCATTACTATAGGTTTAATGGCATATCAGGTTAAACCATATGTGCGTCCACCTTTGCGATGTTTTAAGTGTCAGAGATTTGGACATGTCGCTGCAGTGTGTAGAGGGGAGAAAAGGTGTGGAAAGTGCGGTGGTGGGCATGACTATTCAGAGTGCACAAACAGTGAAGTGAAGTGCTGTAATTGTGGGGGCAGCCATGTGGCGGCGTACAGGGGCTGTGGGACGCATGTCAAAGCCCAAGACGGGGAGACAATAAAAGAGTTCATCTGTGACGCCTCACCCTCAGTCGTGCAAATCTGTCAATGTTGTCAAGAACTTCCTTTTCAACTGACATAACTGCCAGGTTGTGAATCCTTTGTCCAGAGGTCCTTCTCAAGTGAGAGCTACAGCTGCTGACAGGAATAGTCAATGCAACCTGTAAGACTGATTTTAGGGATGGAAACACCTCAGTTTCCAAGAGAGCATGTCTTTCATTGGGTAATTTTTAGCTACTATCACTTCTTCTGTCCTCAGATCAATGTGATAATGTTGGACCAGTGTTGACAAATGATGCTCAGACAAGAAAAGGGCAGATGTAGGACTGCATGCTTGAATACCTTGAAGCAACATCTGACTAACACCAGAAAATATCTTCTCAAGTTCAGCCAGCATACGATCTAAACAAGGAAACAAAAGTTTCCTTTGATAATCCACCGACTCTGAGGAGACATCAGCTTCCCTCCTTGCCCCACATGAGGATTCCACATCTGATTATCTAGCCTTAGCTCGTTTACCTGAAGAAAGTTCTGGAATCTCATTTGCCTCACACAGAATCTTTGCTCTTGTATAAATGTCTGCAGCCGTGACATCACTTGGTTTCTCTAAGCCTAGCGTACAGCGACAGAGTAACTGGAGACAACTAGTTTCAAGGCGGCTTTTAGCAACTGAGAGTAGATGATGGGAGATGATCAGTTGCCGAAATCGGTCGATGTGAGTGCTTTTACAACTGGAGATAAACAGTCGATCTCCAGGTTCAGTCAGTTGCCCGTGTTCTACTTTTTGGCAATTAGTTGTACTCAGATCATGAGATACAGTATCACCCGATGAGTGTGCTCCAACAACATGTGTGTATATTTAAAATGTGAGCTGTTGGGAAATACTATTTGAAACCAGCCCAGAGGTTTTGTGTTATGACCTTTGTCTGAAACCATATAAAGGATAATTTGATTAATGGGTAAATTTGGGACTTGGTAAAACTAGTTTAAGATTCACTTCCTTTAGGGCATAGTTTCTCATTTGTTTTGTTATGATGTTTCTGGGCAGAAACTCTCTTTTGCTCTCTCTCTGGTCTCTCTCTGGTCTTTCTCTCCGGTCTCTCGCTGGTCTCTCTTTGGTCTCTCTCTGGTCTCCCTCTCTGGTCTCTATCTGGCCTCTCTCTGGTCTTTTGCTGGTCTCTTTCTGGTCTCTCTCTGGTCTCACTCTGATCTCTCTCTGGTCTCTCTGGTCTTTTTCTGTTCTCTCTCTGATCTCTCTCCGATCTCTCTCTGGTCTCTCTAGTCTCTCTCTGATCTCTCTCTGGTCTCTCTCTAGTGTCTCTCTGGTCTCTCTCTGATCTCTCCCTGGTCTCTCTCTGGTCTATCTCTAGTCTTTCTCTTGTCTCTCTCTGGTCTCTTTCTAGTCTCTCTCTAGTCTCTGTCTGGTCTCTTTTTAGTCTCTCTCTGGTCTCTTTCTATCTCTCTGGTCTCTTTCTAGTCTCTCTCTGGTCTCTTTCTAGTCTCTCTCTGGTCAACAGAGATGTGCTAAATCAAGCATATTTATGTTGACGTTGTTTGCAGAAACATTGATTATTATGTACTGTGCTAAATTCAAAGAAAGAAACACACTCATTTATTTTTGATTTTATTATTTATTTATATTTAAGTCACAGTCTGTCTTTAGTTCCAATCCCTCACATCCTGGTGCTCAGTGGGTGGTTTTCGGCCTTTTAACCGAGCGGTATCAGACACAAAGAAGCCCGAAGCCCGTCCCAGTCTCACGGCGGCCATGACACTCACCAAGCACCAAGTCCGTCTGCTTCAACATGAGATTCTGTGCCATACGATCATAACAAATGCTCCCCATTTAAACTGTGGCTTTAAATAATGAGCAAAAGTCGCTTCTCTGATTGACAAAAACACATTGCTGGTTCTTTCATCACGGTCATTATCTGCTCACTAGGCTCTGTGCCTCTGAACATAGCATATAAATGGAATTATGCTCAATGCTCCGTGTGAAAAACCTAAAACATGTGTTGTGTCTGATGCCACCGGGATGCTAAAGCCGCTCTGGATCTCTGGCTGGATGCTTTTGTAGGAATCTTTAGCTTGTGGGCCCCTTCTTTCTCTTTCCAGATTTTTCTCTTGCTGTACCCCCATTTCTTTTTCTTTACCTCCTTTTTATCTTGTGTGCATTGCATTACCCAACTACATGGGAGAAGAAGTCACGGTTATATGACAGTTACCGTGTTTAAGGAAAGCCTTTAAAAATGTTTCCAATGCGTTTAAGCCACGATGGTTTCTTCTTGTTCGAACCTTCTCTGGGTTTGTCTGGACTGTTGCTGGTGCACACTTTGTTCATGGAGGTTGTGGATGCCTTCTTTGGGGCAACATCTACATCGCTCTCAGATATGTCGCTCCAGCTCGAGAAAGTTATCACAGATTTCTTAGACTTCTTGGATCTGCTGTTTGAATCTGAGGTACTGGATTTTGGTAGAAGAGGCAGCTTTATGTTACTGAGGTCTCCAATCTGTCTCGGACTATGGGGCATTTCTGGTACAGAATTGCACATAGACCCTTGTGGGATTTGACCAGAAGAGAATCGCTTAATGTCAGATTCTTCACTTGTAGCGTCTGTATCATCTGTATCAGAACGCACTTTTGGATTGGGTTTTGCAGTAAAGAAGGTCCATTCTCCATTTTCAGATTTAGATTTGGCAGGCCCTGCAGCTTTCACGTCTTGTTTAGACTTTTTCTTTCGCCTTTTCTTCTGTTTCACGTCCATCGAGTCGTCTTTTACTTCGCCTTCTGTAATGGGAAGCTGTAGAATGGACTTCTTACATGGCAGTGGTTCTTGGGATACCACTTGGATCGCTGGTTGAGGTTGTCGTTCTTGTGCTCGTTTTTCTTTGAGCTTTTGCAACCTCTCAGTTTTCTCCTTAATCCGGTTCTCAAGCTCAACCTTCTCCTCCTTCCATCGGACCTCCTTGTTGAGGCAGTCTTGTCGCACGCCTTCCAAACTCTGGCGAAGCTTGTGGATTTCGCTGTGCAACTCATTGACATTGTCATTAATTCTGGACAACTCATTTTGCAGTTCCAGTTTTTCTTTTGTCCACATCTCCTGCTGCTCTTTTAGCTCAGCCATCTCGTCTGCGTCAAAGCTCTCGCGAAGGTTTTCTATTTTCTCTTGCAGTGCCTTGATTTTCCTACTCTTCCGAGAGCAATCTTTCTGAAGTTTGAGCTTCTCTTGGGTTATAAACTCCTGCCTTTCCATCTCACGACCCAGTTCTTCACGATGGATTTCCCATTCGGTCTCCATCATCTCTCGGTGCTCGATAACTGTGCTTTGTAGCTTCTCAATATCACTTTGAAGCGACTCAATTTTCTCGTTCTTTAAGCTCAGTTCTCGTTCGGATTCTCTGTGTCCGTTCCTCGCGCACTCTAGTTTCTCGTTTAGTTTGTGCTCAACCTCTTTGTGGTACTTTTGGAAATCTGCTGTGATTTTCTCTTGTTGCTCCAGGAGTTTCTTCTGCTGTTTCTCCTCGTGGGTTTGTAGCCTCTCGATCTCGTGATTCTTTTGGTTCAAATGATTCTCGAGTTTGCGTTTTTCTCTATCCCAACACTGCTGCTGCTCGGCTAACTTGGAATCTGCTTCCTTCTGGTTCTTTTTCTGCGCTGTTTCTAAGTCCTCTTGGAGTTTAAGAACTTTTTCGTGCAGCAGTTGTGTTTCAAATTTCTTCTTCTCTATATCATGACTCTGGCTCTCAATCTCACTTTGCAACTTGTCCATTTTGTGAACGTTTCTGGAGCGACCTTGTTCCAGTTCTAACTTCTCCTTGGCCCAGACCTCTTGTCTTTCTTTCAACTTGCGTTCCAACTTCTCACAGTAAAATTCTTTAGTTGTAAAGTTGTCTTGAAGCGAGACTATTCTCTTTCTCAGCAGTTCAATCTCGTCATTCTTCTTTGAACAGTCCTTTTCCCATAACTCATGCTGCTCTCTAAACTCACCGTCCATTTTCTTGAAATAACTTTTAAACCGCTCTTTCCATTTCTCATTCTTGCTGAGCAGCTGCGTAACATACAGCTCCAACTCTTCTATCTTCTTACACTTCTGGGTAAGGTCCTTAAGCAGGGTTATCCTATTTTTCAGAGTCGCCTCCTCTTTCAAAATGGAGGGCAATTCTGCGTTGCTTTTTGTGGCTGTAGCTTGGACTGTCGCCTGTTTGGGGAATGACTGAACACCAGCAAGCTGCCTTTTTAGATAATCTCTTTCACAGGAGAAAAACCTTTCCTTTTGGCACCTATCTCTTTGCAGCTGACTGGCTTGGTTCACCAGTTCCCGGTTTTCCTCACGCAATTGCTTTGTCTCAGCCACCAACTTTGCTTTCTCCGAAGCCCATTCCTTCTTTTGAGCTTCGAACTCAGCCCTAAACCTGTCCCTTTGTTCTTTTTCATGGAGAAGGCCAGACTCTTTCTGAGATAGCTGACTTTTCACATCAGCTAAATCCTGTAGTAGCTTCACCACCTTCTCACTCTTCTCGGTCAGGTTATTGTTGAGCCGTGTGATGTTTTTCAGGAGCGCCGTTTCTCGATTCATGATGGCTTTTTCGTTATCTGTGCTGCATTGATTCTTCTGCTCCAGATTCTGCTGCTGATCCTTCACTTTTCTCTCCAGGGTTTGGATGTGTTGGGACATCCTGTTGATTTCATCTTGCATGATCTTCTTCTCTTTGGCCCGGGCCACCTCGCTCGTAAACGTGGCAAACTGGGCTTCCTGCTCCATGTAGCTTCTACCACGCATCCAAGTGGATTCAGTTGGTGCGTGGGAAGACATCAGGGGCGTACCACCTTTCTCTTCCAAAAGTATTTCAGGCTTTTGGTTGTCCATCCAGTTTTGGACATATACTTCGTTATCGGACATCATCTTCTCACTGTAAGACTCTGTATAAATGTGTGTGCTGCAATATCTGCGACCCTCCTTTGAAATGATTGGAGTCCTCACAAGAGTTTTGTACCCACTGGTTAATCTGATATTCCGGAATCAAGCTTTGACATCGTGAAATCCCCATAGTAACCAGAGCTCACCATGGAGACGAGACAAATTCTAGTCTCCATGGAGAGTTCTGGTTGCTATAGGGAAAAACCAACATTATAACCAATCACATAACTGTGTATTAATTTAACTAGATAATGTTTTGTTTAATACAAATGTGTTAATCTGTGATCCAGCACGAGTGGCATTTTATATATTTATTTTTTATATTGTTGTGTGATGTTTGTAGTGGTTTTATATTGGTTTTATCTTTGCCGTGTATTTATTTATTTTATTACATTACTTGCCACCACCCACTCATGTCACATGACCCATCCACACGACTGAGTCCAACAGGTGCAATTGGACGCACCTGTGCAATTGGACGCACCTGTGCCTGGCGCGGGAGGAGGAATAAGACAGAGGAGCAACGCAAAGAAAGAAGAAGCAGGTTGGAGAAGTGAAGCACGGAGTGAGCTGAGGGAAGCATCAGAGCAGCGGTCCACTCTCCCGAGGGGAAGACGCCACAGCCACCGCGACGACACGCACGCTGGAACCGCAAGTGCTACGAAGCGATCTACACGCAGGGGCAGAGGAGGACTCTGTCTTCCGTGTGAGTACCCTTGGGGCACGTAGTAGTACTTGTCGGAAGAGCTATAGCTCAAGAAACATAGTGTTGAGAGCAATTGACTGGCGCTAGTTGTCTCCGCGTAGGTGTTCCAGCGTGCAGAGGAGGAGAGCCAGCCGGGAGGGATCGGGACTGAGTGAAGGAGTGTTGTGACGCGGACTACACGCAGGGGCAGAGGAAACTCTGCCTTGTGTGTAAGTATTGTAGTGACACTCCACCATCGTAGCCTCAGGCCCTGTAGTCTCGGACCCCTGTGCTGGCATTTGTCTTGTATCCCCAGGTGTGCGTGTGGAGAATCTCCAATTGACATTTAAATAGAAAGGATTTATTTAGGGTTTATTGCGCTGGAAAACATGCATCATCAACTGGCAAAAGCCCCATTCATTTAACAAGTGCATTCTGAAGTCTACAGCGGCTAAGTTCACCATCGCTCCTGTGAAGGTTAAAATTGTGAAAAATAAGCAGAAGGCGCCATGGGCTAAAGCAGACTCGGTCAGGGCACAAAAGAGAAAGTGCCGGAGGGCCGAGCGGAAGTGGTGCAAGTCCAACCTCCAGGTTGATTACGAGATCTTCAAAGATAAGTTAAGTTGTGCGAGTTTAACCGGGTCCTACGTAGTACGAGAGAAAGGTATTTTTCTGAAATGATTGAAGGCTGCAGCAACAATCTGCGTGTTCTGTTTTCAACAGTTAATAGATTAACGAACCCTCCCTGTTCAGAGGCCATTAGAGCTAACTTCCAAACGTAAATGTAATGAGTTTGCACATTTTTTCAATGACAAGGTTCAAGGCATCAAAAACGCCATTGTCTCCAGTCCACAGATAACCATCCAACAACCAGAAAGGCTCTTTGAGCTAACTTACTTTGCAGTCTGGATGCTACCTCTTAAGCCCGATTGCGCCCCATTCGGGGTCCGCCCCCCCTTGCTGCAGCTTGTCCGGACCATAGCTGACATATACATCAACTGACAATCACATGTTTCACATCCTCGTGTTCGGACAACTCTCAGCTACAACATTATCCACTTCAATTTCAGTTCAACAGACCCAGGTTCAAACAACAAACCACAATCTGACAAATCGTCATAAAGCACATGTCGAAACAAATGTTTGCTTTGGTGTCACAAGCGCCCTCAAAAACAATAAGTAGCCATGCTGTCAGCATACCATTAGAAAGCCCTCTCCGAGCTGAACACAACGCTATAAGCCTGGTAACGCTAGCTCTAATACTCGCTGACCAAGCCGCAGACGAATGCCAGAAAACAAAGCCGTAAAACATCAGCGTTGAAGTAAAAGTCGACTTACTTTTGCTGTTTTTTCATCACAAGTCATTTCCATAGGAATAAAAGTCCGTTTTTTCTTGTATTCAACCTCATAGCGAGGCTTTCTAGCGACCTGGCAGATACCAGTTACTTCCTCCTTCTGTAAGAGGCCCTTTGTGATAGGCTGCACCCGTGCGTCATGTCACGTACCTCTGTGTATCTCTTCCTGTGATTGGCCACAGGTGCTGTCCATCAATACGTTTTCAATGGTTTTTGATAGCCGAAGGTGTGTTCTTTCCAAAATGGTATGACATGCCCTGATTGGCCAAAGTACCGCGGAGGCGTGTACATGCGTATAGTTGGGGCAGAAGGAGGCTGTGCGCAATGCCTTTACGCACGGCAGGTACTCGGAATTTTGACGAAATTAAAAATGGCAAAACAGCGTTATACACGCGAGGAGGTTGTAGAGCTTCTTGCTAGGGAACCGGGGGTGCCAAAGTTTATCTCGATGACTCTACAGACATGTTTGTGCCATTTGGCACAATTTTGGCACAGTTGGATTCCGCCTGGACTTTTTTTCCAATTCCATGTACAACTCTGCAGTGGTTTGTTTATTTGGCACAATTTTTGCTGGACTGGTCCAAAATATCGGGAACTGTCAATTTTAGTTCTTATTTGCTACACCACAGACAGGGAAAAAGCTTTTTTTGAGGGAAAATATGTGTTTTTTTTTTAGGCGGAAGTTAGAATTGTCTGTTTCAACCTAATTTTATTGGCAACCAATACAATTTATCATCTTTTTTCACTTCCACAGCAATCCCCAAGGTCCACCAGGTAATTTGGTACCAAGTTTGGCCACATATCTGGCTAAATACTATATGAAACCTTAGTAAATGTAGATTATAGCTTTTTCGGGAAAAAAGGCCTCTGGGCTTAAGAGGTTCGTCCCATCTCAAATCTGCCATTTATGGGGAAAGTCCTTGAAAAAGTTGTCTACCAACAGCTAAATAGATTTCTTATCAACAACTCATTTGATATGTTTCAGTCCGGCTTTAGACCCCACCACAGCACTGAGACTGCTCTCGTCAAGGTTACAAATGATATCCGGCTGAACACTGACGCAGGCAAAGTCTCAATCCTAATCCTGTTAGATCTGAGTGCTGCCTTTGACACCATCGACCATGAGATCCTCTTACAGAGACTAGAGGACTGGGTTGGCGTCGCTGGCACCGCCCTAAGTTGGTTTAGGTCTTACCTTGAAGACAGGAAGTACTTTGTGGAGATTGGAAACTGTGTCTCAGATCATATGGCCCTGACCTGTGGAGTACCACAGGGGTCGATCCTGGGACCTCTTCTGTTCAATCTCTACATGCTGCCGTTAGGACACTTTGTTTCTGCGTATTAACTGACCTATCACAACTATGCAGACGACACTCAGATCTATGTCTCACTGACTGCAGGAGAACATGGACCAGTGGACTCACTCCTTCACTGTATCCAACAGATCAGTGAGTGGATGCAAAACAACTTCCTTCAGCTAAACGCAGACAAAACTGAAATGATTGTCTTTGGTCCCCAGAAACAAAGAGAGAGCGTCATCTGTCACCTCCAGTCTCTCTCCCTAAAACCTTCAAACAAGGTCAGAAATCTAGGGGTAATACTGGACTCAGACTTATATTTTAATAGCCACATCAAATCAGTAACATCAGCAGCTTTTTACCATCTAAAAAACCCATTGCCAGGATCAAAAACATAGTGTCTAAAGCAGACTTGGAGATTCTTATCCATGCATTTGTCTCCAGTAGGTTAGACTACTGCAATGGCCTGCTCACAGGTCTGTCCAAACAGTAAGTTAGGTACTAGCTGTTTTAAGAGAATTCAGCATTACGCTCCATTCATGTTACGCATTGTTTCTTGGGTGAAATCTAGGACTGAGTTGTTTTAAGTCCACTATGCTATATAGATAAGTAAGAAAAAATAGACTCTTTATTATTCACAACTGGATAGATTAATGTCAATTTGGATAGATAGAATCCTCAGCTCATGTTAAAGGTTAAAATAAGTCTGTGCAGGATATATTATCTACATACAAAGTGGGCGAATAAAGAAAGAGTGGCAAGAGAGTGCAGGTGATTCCAGTCTAGTTCATTAGTGACTTAACGTGACTTAATGTAGACTGGACGTGTGTTGGGGATAAAGCCCTGCGGTAAGATACAATGAATTAAAAATACATATCATATTGCACCATATTGATGTTTTTGGATAACCGCAATACCAGCGCACGGGAACACGTAGGCGAGGGCACATCAGATTAATGGTTTTTCCAACACTTTTCCATGTCCCACCATTAGCCGATTCCTTCTTGAAAAAAAAAGAGGTCTATGGCTTTATTAGGCTTTCAGTGTTGTGTTAAGCTCCACTCACTGGCTCCTCCCGTGTGTGACGAGCGATCATATAGGAACCATTTATAGTTGAAAGCGAGGTGGCGGGGCAGCCCTCAAAAGCAGCGCAATGGCGCCCCAAGGGCCACTTCAATGGAATAGGTACATCCAATCTCTGCTGTGGGGACCGGAGCTGTGTCTCACATGGGAGTTGCATTCTTTCGTTTTGGTGCAGTAAATGACTATTGTCCTCTCTGTGTTGATCCAAAAGAGTGTGTGGAACAGTTTGCAATGGAAGCAGAAAATGGGTCTTATCATGGGCGGTTGAAAATTGTAGGTGACTTTACAATTGTCGCGTAACTGAGAATTTGATGTCTTGACCAAAAGTGCTGCTTTTGTTCAGTGATTTTTAAACAAATTTAAACTCAACTTAAAAGCTTTTTACTTATGAATCCAGTTAGTGTCAAAAGTGCTCACGAATCAGCCTCTGTACGACAAGGGCGATCATATATTAGATGACCACCACAGAATATTTTCATGGAAAAATTTCTGAAGTTCCCCATTTATTTTTTCACATTTTTCTGATGCAAAATTGTGTAAAATGAGCTTTAATAGGTTCCCATG